TGTACAATTGATGCAGAGGTGTTGGGATGCAGACCCATCAAAAAGACCAACCATTGGTGAGCTTTGGCCATTTGCTGTAAATAAACATAATGAAATTCTTAATAATGAAAGTATAACAAATAAAAGCTTAAAAAAGAATAGTTTTTTAATAAAAAGATTATTCAAAGTTAAAAAACATGAAATAGATTTTAGTAATGATGGTAGCAGCAGCAGCAGCAGTGGTAGTGGTGGCGACTTGCAACAAGTATACAAACTACACCCAGATGCATATCATACAAGTAGAATATTAGATGATGAAATTGCTAAATCCAAAAGCTTAAAATTTTATACAAGTGATGATAGTTCATTAAATGATCTTGATTTTAACTCTCTTCTCTTAAACAAAGGTGAGTTAATTTTCACTAATTAATTGGAAATTACTACTTGTTAATCATTACTAACAATATTTTTTATTCACATTTAATTAATTCATAAACATTAGATTCTAGTAGTAATAGTAAAGGAAAAGATCATGATTAAAATATTGACGAATTGGTTGATGAATTGATTTGGTTTATAAACTGCTGGTTTGGCTTATAAGCTTAGGTTTATATTGTAAAAAAAAATTTAAATTTATATCATATGTAGCCTAGGTTTTGATAAATATTCATGATAAACTTCAATTAAATGATTTTATTGAAAATCTACATAAAAACGTAATTTTTGAAATTTCCACATATGAAAGTCTAGATTCATGCAATATAATTTTATTGTTTAAAAATCTTACTTCCATCATCTGGACAAAAGTTTAGAAACACATGTCTTCACTTAATATACATGTTATTTAGCATTTCCAATTAAAACAATTGAAATTCATGATAACATTTTCAAATTTCTTTAAACTTTATATATTAAAAAATATAGCTCGGGTTCACAATCATATAGTGCGCACAGCCTAAATACTCTTATTGTTGCGCCACGAGACCGGATTTGATTCATAAAAGTTTGTATATACACAGTATCACTGTGGTAATAATTTGCTGTAGTTCACAACTTTGATATTCTACTATCTGAATTCATATTCCATACCTAACTTAAAAATAACTCAAGAAATAGTTTTGATGGTTTTATCACATTCTCCGCTAGCAATTTTTCTGCCATCACAACTCCAATCGACAATACTGATCCAATCAATATGTGCATTATATTTTCTTAGATGAACTACTGGTTTCTTAATATCCTATTTCTTAATTAAATAATGATTTTGGCAAATGCAGCAGCAAGTTCATATTGAATTAAATTGCACACCATGAACACCTTTACACCTTCCTTGAAATGCATTCATTGTCTTTTCTAAATCTCTGAGATCTTAAATAAATAAATAAATAAATAAATAAATAAATAATTTTGTATTTAATTATTTTATTTGTTAACATATTTATATAATAGATCAGAAACACTTACCAACAATTTCATAGTACAATCTTGTGAGGCACTTAACAATAATGAATCTTGCAACACTAAACTCATAAAGGCCTGCTGTTTCATCTCTATCACGTTTACTGTTAATGTTGGATATTGATGAAGGAGATTTGGTTTTAATTTTTTTTGTCAGACTCATTACTTTGTCTCTAGCACATTCACTGATAATATTGGATGTTGATGAAGGTGAGTTGGTTTTAATTTTTTTGTTAGACTTGTTATTTCAGTACATTTACTGTTAATGTTAGACGTTGATGAAGATGATTTGGCTTTAATTTTTTGTTAGACTCGCAAAGGTCTGTTATCTCATCTCGAGCACGTTTACTGTTAATGATGAATATGATTTGGCTTTAATTAGACTCATAAAGGTTGGTTACTTCATCTCTATCATATTTATCGTTAATTTTAGACGTTGATAATGGTGTAGATGCAGACATTAGTTTGTATAAAATAGGACGTAGGTCACACACTTAAAGTATGTTATTGGTTGAAATCTAATTTTTTTAAGATTAATTAATTAATATTTGCCTTTTTTTTCGCAGAAAAACTTGTATATAAATTATACCTACTCATTGAACATGTTTGTCATTGTATAAATAATACCTTTTGTTATTTCTATTTTTGATATATGAATAATAATATCCTTCACAAGGGTTATCACCTTTATGAACCAAGGCAGAATTAAGATTATAACGAACATTTTTACCCTTTAATAATAAATTATATGATTTGTATTTAATTAGTATTATGTTATAATGCATTAGATATAATTATTAATTATTTACCCCAAAAATATATTTCGGAATGTCTAGCACCTCTC